ACACACACACACACACACACACACACACACACACACACACACACACACATATATATATGGAATTTAAGAAAAAAAATGTCATGAAGAACCTAGGGGTAAGACAGGAATAAAGACACAGACCTACTAGAGATTGGACGTGAGGATATGGGGAGGGGGAAGGGTAAGCTGTGACAAAGCGAAAGAGAGGCATGGACATATATACACTACCAAACTTAAGGTAGATAGCTAGTGGGAAGCAGCCGCATAGCACAGGGAGATCAGCTCGGTGTTTTGTGACCGCCTGGAGGAGTGGGATGGGGGGGGGGGGGAGGGAGGGAGACGCAAGAGGGAAGAGATATGGGAACATATGTATATGTATAACTGATTCACTTTGTTATAAAGCAGAAACTAACACACCATTGTAAAGCAATTATACTCCAATAAAGATGTAAAAAAAAAAGAAGCTTGTAGTTTTGCATTGTCAAGTACATCAAACTTTTCCTTTGCAGTTTCTTCCATTACTCTTATGCTTAGAATGTTTCCATCCTCTGGTTACCTATGTATTTAAAATACTAATGTCTCATCTGCACTGTCTTATCTTGTTCCAGTGACCTGTCTTGTAATTCCTTAGCATACTGTCTCACTTTAATTATTTAAGAAAATATTAATATTTTCTGGGGTGAGTCTTCTTTCACTTCTCTTCTTGTGTGACCTTCTTCTGCCTCTTAATTTTTCTTATGGGGAGTGATAAGCTTAAAATTTTGGTCAATATTATACTAAATCCTTCTTATAATTTGTATTATACTTTTACATACTTATAATGATAAAATTGTAAATTATAAGTCTTGATAGAATACTTTATATCAACATAATATTAAATTATATTACAAGCTAAATTATAGTTACAAATTACAATCTATTTATTATGTATTATATACTGTATTATTTATTATTTATGTATTACATACTGCATTAAAATATGATTTTTATTTATATTGTATACAAAATTTATTTTATATTTATACTTATATTTTAAACTTACAAATTTATATTACAATAATTTTTATACTATAATAATTTCCCATTTAAAACATGTTCATTCTTTTCCCTTTTTCTGACACATCTTTCCATTGATTCAAGATTTCATTTAGGTCCATTAGTAAATCTTTCTTTCCATAAGACTTTCACATTTTTTATGATAGTCATTCTGATCTATTTTGCTCTTTTGGATTATTGCTTAAAGGTTCTCTCCTACATATTTTGTAACTGGTCTTCCTAGTAGATGGAAAAGCTACTAATATTTTGTTAGTTGTATAGTTGGCCACCTAAATAAAGTCTTATCCATTTCCAAAGTACTTCTTTGGGTTTTGTGAGGTTCCTCTATGGGAAATTAGCTGCTTTTCAGTAATGGTGTATCTGTCTCCTTGCTTATCTCACTGTTGATTCAAGCCCTGTGCCTGGGGCCATGGCTCACCCCTGGGTCTTGTCTCCCAGCATGGAGGAGTGTGGGGCCGTGTGCCCGAGACTTGCCATCATGGTCCATGACAGCTTCCAGTGTCTGGGTTCCCCACAGCACATCAAAAACAGGTGCGTTGCCATCTTTCCACTTAAATGTTTCCTGTGAATTAGTAGCTTGATGCGGTTATAACTGGAGGTCCATGCACCTCAGGGGCACAGAAGGGGAGATGGAGGCTGAGAGGGGAGGGGCATGTTTGTGTGTGAAACACCATCACCAGGGGTGCCCACCATCAGCTCTGCAGAGCCCAGCTTCCCCCACCACCCGACCAAGGTCTTACTGTCTTCTGCCCATGAAGACACATGCTGTCATTGTGGTGACACTGGGAGGGTTGGAAATACCATTACACAGTCAAGGTGAAACAAGGATCAAAAGTATCCTCATTGATACAAAATACCACGTAGAAAGATTGTTCTGACATATTCCTCACCTAGAGAGGGTCAGTAGCCAGTGCTGCATCTGGAGAAAGGCCCCCATTGATTCAAGAGGGTGAAAGACGGTCCTTGTGGTTGCTTCTTAGTTCAACTAATAGACTAGAGACTTAGCACGCTTTAATCGCTTAGATTTCTTCCTGGTTAATTGTCTTTTTTAGAAGAAGAATACTTTTAGAAGAAGAATTAATTTTAGAAGAAGAATACACTTTCTTCTCCATTTACCTTTTGGAATCATAATGATTTTGTTATCAAGTTGTATGAGTGTTTTTGTGTCCCCGTATAACTTTTTTTTTAAAATTCAGTGTTGCCTAAGCTATTTTCAGAGTTTACAAGGCATACCATGTATTATTGTGCTTTGCTTTCATTGCATTTCACAGATACTGCATTTTTTACAGGTTGAAGGTTTGTGGCCACCCTGCGTTGAACAAGTCTGTTGGCACCATTTTTCTAATAACATTTGCTCATATTCTGTCTCTGTGTCACATTTTGGTAATTCTTGCAATATTTCAAACCCTCCACCAGCAAAAAGAGTATGACTCACTGAAGGCTCAGATGACAGTTTGCATTTTTTAGCAACAAAGTATTGTTTTAAATTAAGCTATGGACATTTTTAGATATAATGTTATTGCACACTTATTAGAATACAGTATAGCATAAACATAACTTAATATGCACCAGGAAACCAAAAATATTGTGTCACTCCTTTAATTGCGATATTTGCTGTATTGTGGTGGTCTGGAATGGAACCTGCAGTATCTCCAAGGTATGCCTCTAATTTCTTTTAAATTTGTTGTTTAATCTGTTCCTTTTGATATAGAGTAATTTATTCATATATGTTGATACATCTTTTTTCATTTTCAGTTTTTCAATGTTTTTAAAGAATTCCCAAGTAGAGATTTGTTAAATTCATATATATATTAGGTTGAAATATTTTTATTTTATGGAGAAAATACCATGAATGTTTGGATGGAGATGCCGCGTTGGGGAGTGGACGACAATTTTCCAGCAGCTGAGAGCCGGGCGCTGCTGGTTGGTCATGCTCACTGTCGCTTCATGTCAATCCTTCATCAGATAAACCCGCTGGAAACTGTTCTCAACATGTGCTCTGCTCACCTTTAATGAGGGTCATCAAAAGGAAAATAATATTTCACGCTCCCGCGCCTTTATGAATGCTCACATAAAGTTTTATAGCCCTTGCCTGATGGTCAGGTGATGTATGTCTGAGTTTAGCTACTTGCCTTTCAAGAGGTTTGCCGACCTCTCTGGAAGGGGCGGGGGAGGGGAGGCTGTGGGGAGGTGCCTCCTCTTGCTGCTCTGGTCTGTGTGCTCATCGCTCTCGTCTGCCTCTGAGTTTTAGGTCTGATCATGTGTAATAGGGGTGAGGATGGATCGTTAGTAAATACGAACCGTAGAATTCTTTTTTTCCCCCTAGGATACATTTTTTTTTCAGTTATGCATATACATGTATCCATTCCTTTTCAAATTCTTTTCCCTCCGAGTTTGTTACATAACATTGAGCAGAGCTCCCTGTGCTCTACAGTAGGTCCCTGCTGGTTATCCAATTGGAACATAGCAATGTGTACCATAGAATTCTGTTAACAGATGGCTTGTGGGTTAGTCACTGGAACCTTGAACTTAATACATTTAAAAATAGTTTGTAAAGTTGGTATTTTCCTATGACAAACTGACTACATGTCTTTCCATAATATTGAGATGGAGAACACGGGATTGATCATTTTTATGGAACGCTGGACTCCTAAACCTGGGGGTCATCAACGTGGTGCCCACTTCCATCCCTGGGGTGTGGGGGACTGCAAGAGGCTCCTCCCTCCACCCGGTACCTGCCCTTCTGCCAGCATCCCGAACATCCCTGAAGTCCGCAGTCCCTGCGCTCGCTTGCCCTGAGGGTGGTGAAGCAGACAGGGGACCAGCTTCCTGGCTTTCAGCCTTGTTGCCCTGACTACGTGAGCAGGCTTGTTACCGGGGCAGAAGGAGGTTTCTTGCCCGGTGTCTGCTGTGACCTTGGGTGATGAGTCCAGAGGTACGATTTGGACCATTTTGTGGAGGCCCCGCTGGGTTCCTGCAGGGGGATCCCTGGCAGATGAAGGCCTGGTCTGGCTGCCCCTGGATGGAGCCTGTCACACGGTGTCTGGGTCTCAGTATCCCCAGCTGTGGGATGGTTGTCGTGAGGACCACACGCATGTGAGAGAACTTAGAAGAGGGCCCTGCTCTGGTCATGCTGGGGTGCCTGCTGCTGTTACTGCCACAGGCAGTTTGACCTGAGTGACCCATCCCGCTGTGCCCCCAGAGAGAGTCAGGATATAGCGGGTCAGAGAGAGCTTCTGTGATGGGTTTTGTGAGAGACGATGAAAGCCAGGATGAAGCCGTGGAAATGAATGTTCCTGAGCCCCGAGTCCAGACAGTGTGATGCTGAGCATGTCAGCAAAGGCAGCAGCCGAGGAGGAGAGTCCAGGGTGATCCCGTGATTTGGGGACGGAGGGAATGTGAAAAGAGTGAGGAGAGAATGAAGAAGAGAGAGTGGGGGTGGGGGGCTCTGAGGAGAGAACTCAGGATGAAGCGATGTTTGAGAGATGGACCTGAGGTTGGGCTCAGACCTGAGTTAGGGGTTTCCCTGTGGAGACATGGAGGTGGCTGGGCTGGGTCCTGCCTGGGTCAGGAGACATGGTCTGAAGCGGGAGCTGAGGGCGGGAGCTGCAGAAACCCTGTAGAGGGGCGATGCCGGGGTGTGTCCTTGGGAACCCCCTAACCACGAGGGCAGGTGCAGGAGAGCCCACAGAGAGAGACAGAGGAGTGGGGAGCCAGGAAGTAGTGAAGGTTTAGCCCCTGTTCAGCTTCCAAATCCCAGTGCTGGTCTGGACCCGTCATCAGCCACTAGAAACCCTCAGGAAAATCCCAGAATATGCAATGCTGATGGCAGCCAGGGGCCCCGCTGGAATAACAGCTCACTGTGCAACCCAGAGTGGGGTCTGCCTGCTTGCCGCTCAAAAGCCAGCAAGGAGGCAAGGTTGGTGGAAAGGCAGGTTTGCTTTATTTCAGAGGCCAGCATCCTGGGGAGGGGGAGGGTGGGCTCCTGTCCAAAGGCTGACTCCCCGCCAGTGACAACCAGTGGGCAAGAGCTTTTATAGACAGAGGGAGGGGGCTATGTGCAGAAACAGCAGTCAGCTGTGACAGTCACCTTGAAATTGGTCATTGGTGGTCTGATCAGCGTCATCCTGATCGTTTTAAGGACAGTTAGTCTTCAGTTCCAGGGATGGTTTGTTCCCATTTCGTTGAGGCCAGTTCTCGGAATTGTGGCGGCTCATGTCATGGCTACAGTCTGGTCATCATGTAGTTCACTTCTTCCATCTGCTGGGGGTTTCAGTATCTACAAGACAGCTCACAGGACATGGCTCAGAATATTATCTGTAGCCCTTGAGGAGCAACTAAAGGTCCTTGACTTTGCCTAATGACTAAACTGTTATTGTTTAGTCTTGTTGGACTGTTTTCCTTGGTTTCTGCATTTTCTCACTTCTCTGATTAAACTTACTCTTTGGTTAAAGTTTTTCCCCAGACAAAAGGCAGGTGGGGGACACGGTGGGAAAGGACCATAGAGTCCTGCTCCGTTTCAACTGGGCACAGAATCCATCTTCCAGGTGGGGCGGGAGGGGAAACGGATGCAGGGATGGGTAAAACCAAGAGCCACAGAAGTAGGAAGGGAGGAAGAGCATGTGGGCGGGTGTAGGAGAGGTAAACAGACAGAACAAGAGACACAGAAGGAGAGCACAGGCCCTGCCCTCCCTGCCCCATCCGCTGGGCCGGCACAGCCCCGCAGATGGTGCAGGGGAGACAGGTGCCTCCCAGACCTCAGAGCCGCCATGTCACCCCCAGCCTGCAGGCGAGACCAGGTCCAGGCCATCCCGGGCTGCACTCCCTCTTCTTGGGTGCTTTTCATCCACTCTCGACTCTCAGTGCCCTGATTCTTTTCCTTCCACCTTTGCTCGTTTGAATTCCTTTCCTGGGCCCAAAGGGCAACCCACTCATCCTCCCCCATCAGAGAATGCTCCTCCAAAGGACGCGAGTCCCTTCCCCTACTCCTTTCTGAGCATCACAGCCCAGCATCCTGCTGCCCACCCAGACTGCCCCCGCCCTCCGGGCTCCATTAACTGCATTTGTAGGAAATGTGAGGTGTGTAAGGCCACCCTATCAGGAGATGATTGGACCGAAGAGTTCGTCAGAGCTCCTGAGAGGAGGGGCCATGCGTGAGCCCAGTGAGGAGGGATCAGTTGGTCCTATGGAGTCTCTCCCATTGGGTGCCCGTCACCCGGGGAGTGAGGCTCACTTCACCTGTGGTGTCACAGGCCTAATAGGTATGCATCACAGGAGAAGTACCAACCGTGGCATCTGGCGGCAGGGAGGTTTGGTTGGAGGATGTAGGGAAGTCTCTGAGTAAATCTGGTTAGGAGGGCACTGAATTCTTGCTCGGCTCTCCGGGCTGGCAGGGGAGGGACAGTGAATGGGAGGAACTGGGAACAGGCCTGAAGAGGGGCCAGCTCCACACCTGGGGCATTTCATCCCACAAGCCGATCCCCTGGGCCCTGGGTGACCTCATTTTGCAGAAGTTTCAGGGTCTGAGTGAG